TATTTCAATGTTTCGGATGATGGAATAGTCCTCCAAAATCCTCTGCAAATATACTTTGGTAAATGAGATTCAACGATGAAAAGATGCAGTCAGATCTTGGCTTCCAATTAGCGAAATCGGAAGTCTCTATCACTTTCTTGTCAATCGTTATTCGAAAAACACTCGAGTCCTTCTTTTTTTACCAATAATAATCCATTGTCGAGTGTCTGTTTGCTAATAGGGTTCATTTCCTGTTCGGTTCATCAATAGCTTCATGACGAGTCGACGATTTGCTATCGACTTTTGCATATATTACTCGCAGACCCTATATGCTTTTCTCATACAGACTTCGACTACACAATGTATAAAACCACAGCCTTAGGTAAGCTATTTTCTACTGTCAATAGAGAATCAAAATTAGTAGTATATTTTTGTGTTTTCTTATAGCACATTACATGCACAAGAGCTATTCAATGATATTATGAACAGTATGAAAATATTTTGCATTGCTTTATATCCATGTCGTTTCAAGTATGGTACGCTAATCTTATTAGTTTTCATCGTACTTTTGACAGGCATAATCTATCATATTGTTAAATATAAACACAAAAACAGTGTATTGCATCCTGTTCTCACTTTTAATCGCTCATCTCGTTCTTTTTCATTCGAGAATTTCGATAATAATACGGGCGTCAAGTATTTTCTAGTACCCAACATTATTCACTATATACGTTGGGATAAACCAACATTTAATTTTGTCGATATTGTTTGTATGCGTTCTGCCTATCTAGCACAGAAACCGGATAAAATATATATACATACGAACACACCGAATTTCAGAGGTAAATATTGGATACAATTGAAAAGAAAATGGCCAGATTTATATCAACGAATTAAAATTATATTAAATATACCACCAACGTCAATTTGGGGACAAAATTTTAGTTCAGGCTGGCATCTGTATCATGCTAGTGATATTGAACGAATAAAAATCCTGATGAAATATGGTGGTATTTTTGCCGATAATGATCTTTATGTAGTTCGAAATTTAGATAAATTTCGACATTTTGAAATGACACTTGGTTGGATAGAAAATGATCCGGGTCTCGGCACAATGATCTATATAGCACATAAACATGCTCGCTTTTTACCACTGTACATTGACACTTACCGCGAATATAATGAAACAGAATGGTATTGGAATGCGGGTATTAAACCGGTGTCAGATATTTTGTTACAACGACCTGAATTGATTCATCGTGTCAAAAATTTATTTGGAGTAGGAACGGATATCACATATAATTTGTATACACAATATTGGCCTAGATGGAAAAAATATTATACTATACATCTGTGTATTCGTCATCGAGATTATATGTACAAGAAAGAGTATAAAGAATTTCCAGTGTTTAATGAGAATACTATCTTGCATTATAATTATACGTTCGGTGAGATGGCACGACTGGCATATTTTAGCAAATAATAGATCTATGTGATAGTTTTATGTGATACATCCTATCAATGATAACGATTTATTTTTGATCAAGTAATTTACTTTTCAGTTTAAACTATTTCTACTAGATTTTTGTAAAACTTTAACAAAGATTGTGGTATCGTATTTTTGTGAAAGTCAGAGTGAACGTTTATAGTGTCATGCAATATATTAATTCACGTGAGTTACTCTTTCCTGATCATGCTCCTTACATGAATATAAGCGTGCTCTATTCCATCTATTATTGGCAAGCTGTTGAAGTCTGATAGAACTTTCGATTATTTTCTTATGAAGAAAAATTTTGTCTGGGATGTTTGTTCATTGTGTCACAATTATTTTCAATAATTCTGACGTCCCGTAAAGCATTAAGCGAAAGAGTACTTATGACTAAACTCTCCCTTAGAAGTAAAGGGGCATATTATCATCAGGGACGCTGCGAAGTACAAGAAGCAGAGAAGGGGTTCTCCGATTTAGGAGTAAATCCAAAAATTTCAAAAATGAGAGGAAATATCTGATTTGTCTAATAATACGTAAGTATTGATATCCGTTTTGACATTTTTTTGACAATTTTTGGGCAGCACATCCTCATCCCACACTTCCACCAACTACAACCGGGTCGGTTAAATTCAGGAGAGCTTCTACAGCAAAACTTCTCTGCATTGAAGAATTCGATATACAAAATAGATATATATTACTCTTCTCGAAAGTTTAATACGAACTTCGAGATACTGAACTTTTAGTCAGTTTTTGCCTATAGAAAAAACTTTTATAGAATGTTTTATAAAATTCCATAAAATTATTCTTTTGGCTTTTTGTCGTTTATAGAAATTTTAAATAATTTTATAGAAAACTATAAAACCCGTTTTAACCATAAAAATTATTTTATAAAAAAATATAGTCTGATATAAAAAAACCTTTTTTATTAATAAAGGTATCAGTGAGCTGTTCGAATATAATGTTGTCATTCACTAGCCCCATTGCTTAGCAATACTGTTGCTCGGCAATGAACCATGGCTAAGCAATGCATCGCCAAAAGTGTTTTTTCATGCTCTCAAAACTTAGCAAAGACTGTTCTTCAAATGAAACTTTTTCTTTACATCGAATACTGATAGAGAGTAACTGAGAGCTTTCAAATGAGGTGTAGTTGATGTTAGAAGCCAGAGATTAAAAAATTTTCTTTCTCTTTTTTTATGACAGTTATGAAAGTTGAAGATGCTGTTTCAAATGACTCTTATAGATTCTGTGACTGATTTGATTCACAACGGTGCAAGGTAGCATATTCCAGTCGTCAGTGGTACGAGGAAAAAATGATCCTGAAGCAGACTTTAAGGAATAGTAGATTTTGAATTTGTTCATTATGCGTTATTTATTAAAATAAGCAAGACGAAAATATTTTCTTCGATCGGAGAGTGGTGCTAAATTTAGCCGAGTGAGAAGTTGCGAGGAACGACTGTCATAAGCTTTAAGGATTGTTCTACAGGCCAACTTGTGTACGTTATCTGACACAGAAAGATGAGAAATGTAAGACGTATCCTATGGAATGCAGCAGTACTCCAAAGTTGGACGTATGCAGATCTTATACAGATGAAGACGAAGTGAATTAAGAGAATCGCAGAACACGCGGGAAATAGAACCAAGCATTTTTCGACAACTTGAGGCTACATTGTCGATATGACATTTCCACGGTAGATCATGCGTCAGTCTAACGCCAAGAAGTGTAAGAAAAGTAGCACGCTGAATTATATGATCATTCATCCTTAAAGACATTGTTGGACATACGTTATATAGAGTAGAAAACAACATCCATTCTCATTTTGAAACGTTTAAAGTGACAAAATTCGTTTCACATCAAGCCAGAATCTCGTCTATGTACGCTTGTGCTTTGATCGGCTAGACAAAGAAGATCATCTGCAACGAGCGAGGATAGAGGACAGAAAACTAGAGTTTGAGCTAAGTCATTAATGAAGATTAAAAATAGGATGGGACCACGAATACTCCTTTGAACAACCGAGACTGAAGTAGAATGAGCAGATCCTACTGTTACTATCAAGGTACCCTCAGACAGATATGACTTGAAGCAGTTAAGTAGAGGATCAGAAATACCAGCCAAAGATAGTTTTCTCAGTAGAATTTCGTGTGGTACACGGTCGAATGCTTTTTCGAAATCGAAAGAAATGTCAACTACTTTTTGGTGATTATTTAAACATTTATAGATTGTATCTGTGACGAAAAGTAGCGCATCTTCTGTCGATGCATTTGGACGAAAACCAAATTGATTAGGAGAAAAGAAGTTCGTCAATGTTAAAAAAGAAAAAAATTGTTTTTGGACAATTTTTACGAAAACTTTACACACGTTAGAAATAAGAGAAATGGGCCGATAATTTTTAACAAAAAATTTACTTTCCTTTTTATGAATAGCTCGAATTATTGCCTGTTTCCAAAGGTGAGGAAAAACCTCTAGCTTTAAGGAAATAGAAAAAATATGATGTAATTGTCGTGCAAGAATGTCAGCATAAAGTTTTAGAAATCTAACACTTATTTGATCAACACTTACAGAATTTTTGTTTTTTAGTTTTGAAATAGGAGAATAAACATCAGACGCATCAAAAGAGGTCTCAGAGAGAAGTTTAATAGAAGTCACCACTGGTGCGGCCGGGAATGGTCCTGAAATATTACAAAATTTAAAATACAATTTAGGTTGATTTCACGTCCATTCCATTCTTTTTAGTGTTAATACTCTTCTATCTTAATTTCTTGAGTTACCCATGAATAGATACAAGAAGATAAAAATCCCTGAATGTATTGGTTAATAACAAAACGATGTACATGAGCTATTTACAAAGCGTCGAAAATTCTTCACATTTTATGTACAGCTAGAACACGCCAAAAAAACGCTAGAATAAAGAGACCACCGTAAAGTAAACTCGTAGGCAGTAAACAACTGAAAGCTAATAAAAAGCTGCAGAGAGTAAGAAGAGGATAAATAAAAGTCGAACCGATAAGGTTGTTTTTGAGGCTGTACTTCCAACTGTTGGTGCTTGCATCGTCGTAATGTTGTCATAGAAAAGCATCAGTGTGCGTGTTGTTGTAGTCATACTTAAAGCTAAGTCACTGATCTGCAGTACATTTGAGGTTGCATTCCACGTCATATTTATCGTAGTTGAATTACTCTTCATCAGCATAATCTGAGTGGGCTGTGCAGTTAACCCATAGACTTGTATTTGATCCAGTACCAATGGTGTTTGATAGTGATAGGCTACTGCTGTGATTGTAATTGTGTTGTTACTCGTATAATTAAACTGAAACAAGTTGTAATTTTGATTTTCATACGTATCAACTGAGTCACCATCATCCCAGAACAGACTTCCGCCAGCTGTTTGATTCTGGTCCAGTGCTACGAGCAACGACATTGGATTCTGACGTGAGAGATTTGTGTTCAGAGCATACTGTTGTATTGGAATTATTGAGCCGCCTCTGAAAGAAAGGAAACAAGAGATAAGTTAGATATGCATGTGCCTAAACTGATGCCGAACAGAGTGTGAAAAATCGATCAGAAATCGAGTTCTCCGATTTGATAATGTCTGATCCAGTGAAAGGTGTCGTCTGAAAAACTAGAATTTTCACTTTTATTTGTAATACTTATGCAGATATTAAAAGCCTACTGAAGCTCCCATTATCGTCTTTTGATAGTGCCCTCTCTGCCTACGGCTAACTTACTTGACAAACAGCGGCATATAATCCAGTGGTGCGGCTACCGTAATATTTCCCAACGTTGTCTGTTCCTGTCCCGTATAGTAATCGTACCATCGTACTGGCGACAGTGGTAAATACAAATTCTTCGTAGTTTGACTTTCATAGATCACCGGTGCAATCAGGAGGGATGAACCCCAAAGAAACTGTTCATCTAAACCCCAACAGTTTGAATCCTGAGAATACTCATGTGCCATTGAACGAACAACTGTGCCGCCGTTGACATGGACGTTGTAGAATAAAGTGTACAGATATGGTATCAGCGTGTAACGTAAGATTACAGCTTTACGATTACTGGCGATGACTGAAGGTGAGAAGACACCAGGATCTTGATCGATCAGTCCAACGGAGTTGTGGTTACGGAAGAACGGGTTGAATGCACCTAGACGAAGAAAAAGGAGAAGAATAAGTTAAAAATCAACTCAAAAGAAGCAAATTGCTACAACGTACCTAATTGCATCCACCGTTGACACAACTCCTCCGTCGTATTTAAATTGAAACCGCAGATATCAGCACCAATGTAGGGTATTCCAAATAAGTTGAATTCCAACAAGCCGATAATATTGTACTTGATAAACGGCCAAAGAGCTGAATTATCGCCCGTCCAGTGACCTGCGTACACGCCAGAGGATGGAAACGTTGAACGACTTAGGACGAATGAACGTCGTCCCGGAGACAAAGCGCGTGCCGCCGGCAGCGTAGCTATGGTTTCCGACCAACCAAAGAGACTGTGGATATCGTAGTGACGATACGTTGTGTTACCATCTGTCTGCAGTGCCAGCATACAGATAGTTTTGTCTGACATCACATCACCCCAGATCGCACTTTGAAGCAAAGAGAAATGTAAAGCTTTAATATTTGACGGGTTTTTGTAAACATTCGAACTTACGGATGGTAGGGTGGTGCATCCCATTGCTCGTCAGTTGGACAGTGTAAGCTCCAAGGAGTACTGTAGGGCCAATTCCACGGCTGAATCATGTTTGTGTCGAAGTTCGCTGGTTCATTCTGCAGTTACAAAGACAGGAGAACCGAAGGGAGTGAGTAGAAAGTGAAAAAATTACTCACCATATCGATCCAAATTGCATCGAAATTTAGTGTATTGTGCCATGTTACAATCTGGTTCAGCCACCATGATTTTGTAGGAGGGTAGAAGAAGTCAGGAAATACAGCTTTACCTGAAAATGACAAACACCAAAGCAAACAAAGTTTCTTCAAGCTTTCTTGTCTTGCTGTGTAAGACTGAAATTACCTGGCGGCCAGACATATCCTAACATATTCTGATTTCCAGTTTCATTAAATTGCAAATTTTCATCTACCGGCCATTTAATCCAGATATTCTGCTGTTCTCCAAGTACGAAAGCACTGTAGTTCGGATGCTGTGAATCTATAGCTGGATCTAAGATCGTAACAAATTTCATTCCGATGTTGTGCAAATGATCAATAAACTGGGGAAGATTGGTATAATTCACTGGATCGTATGTGAAATCTGTTTGATTGTCAAAGGTATCGATATCGCCCCATTGCACATCCTGCGGAATCCCGTTTGAAATTGTACGATTCCATGCAGCCACCATATTAGCCAAGGAATTATAACCGTAACGACAGAGCTGTAAAGCGACAAGGAGATAAATTTCTTCAGCTTACACAGAGAAAGAAAGACAAGTAACCTGAAATCCCAAACCCCAGTACGGCGGCATGTAGGGTTTCCCGATAACCATTTGATACTGCTGTATTACTTCTTCCGGCGTTGGCCCAGCAAAAAAGAAGAGATCTAGGATACCACCAATTGTACGATAGGTTAGTAGAGCTTGCGTAGCACTGAACTGTGAAAATTCGTAGTCTTGTGCATTTGAGTTGAATATCAAAACACCGAAGGCGTTACCATCGTCTTCAATACACATGTAAAACGGATGTGTACCATAGAGATTTTCATTTTGACCCTTTAAAAGAGAGAAATTTCTTTTTTTCTCCTGTTGGTAGTGTGAATGGGTAGACATTTTAACTTACCTGTGGCGGTTGATCACGTGCAAAAATTCCATAACGAATACCATTGGTCAAATTGTGTCGAAACGAGGGGTGTGTGTTCTCACCAAAACCTGAAAAGGAGTAGATGAATAGAGTAAGTTACCGTCGTTTGTATTCACCATAAACATTGTTCGATGGAAATGTTGTAATTATCTGTAGAAACTGATTATCGTAGATAAATCCTTCGGCGAAATAAGTTGTATCAAATAAAATTGGATCATTGCCAGAGCTCGTACTGCCGATCTGTCGCCTCACACGTAAACCAGTTTGATTGTACTGAGTTTGGGTTAGTTCAAAACGAAGTTTCTGCTGTTGTGACTGACTAGTGGTGGCACTCCATGTTATTGGAACAGGCACTTCATAACGTTGATTGTCCATGTTAGCATCTCAAGTAAAAGACAAAAGCTGAATATTATCTCGTGTCACATCACATGCGCAGGAACTCCGTTTTTTACCTGTTATTTTCATTCTTATCATGTTTGTACCACTCACCGTTACTGAAACATTCAGCTGCTCTGTATCATTGTTGAATAATGAAAATTCATCACTAGTAGAAGCTATGTCCGTTTCATTTTCACTTGTGGTAGGATCTGTGGACAGACGACTGAGTGTATATGACATGCCCATACTATTTGCAAGTGAAGTTTGATTGTACAAATAGTAACCACCTTTTGATTTCGGTACGTAACAGGCAACAATACCGAATGTGGAATTTGCAACATCGGAATCCCAGATACAACCACGTGCTTCACATGTCGTTTGACTGGAATCTAAACGTCAAAAATAGAAAAAGAATTGTAATCTTTTAGTTTCGTCTCCATTTCAATTACATACTTGCGTCTGGATGACAGTCAGTACGGAAAATTACATTATTGATTACCGAGTTTGGTATTGCTACAACAGTTATCGCTGTGTCACTGTCTCCACAGACAAGACACACAAGTGAAATGAGGAGAATGACATATTTAAGTTGAATATCCATTTTGTGTTGTCGACGGTATTTTTTTAATGTTACTGCTTGTTATTATTGTTCGTTAGAAATCCATCTGTGCAGAATAACGCATGAATACACCCGAAATATCTTACCGAGCACGTGTTTCTCTATTCGTTGAAGGTAGACAGCGAACGCATTATCTATCTAGCAGTCAAGTGTGAGTCATACCAAAAGTACAGGCAATCGTCGGCCTCTGTACCAGAAGCAAAATACAAGCACTGCTACTGATACATTTGGATTATAAAACTCAATTCCTAGATCACGATGTTGTGATCGCTTCATCATACAAATTAATTGCTAGTGGGCTAATTCCAATTTAGAGGTAAGAGTTGATCAATGTTTTCATTTTAGCTTACTTAATTGATTGTGAGGTGACTTGCATATAGTGGTCCAACATTTATTTCAGTTCTTTCAGCTAAGGATGATTCAAGCACTGCACAAATTCATCATCAAGTGTTATTTCATACTCGACTTGTATGCTGCAACCTTAGATCTAGTACAGGAGACCCAGTGGGTAGCTTAACATTTGGTGCCGTGACCAGGGAAAGTCCGCAAATTACTTTACCTGCCTTTTCTCTCATGCATTCTCTAAATTAGTTTTTCTTCGTCGGTTAGTTAGGAAGATAAAAGGAGAATACGTTAGGTAAGACCGAAAAATATAAGAAGTCAAAGAAAAACAAAAACAAAACGAACAAACACGAATCAGTCAAACAGACTAATATAAAATAGGAAATTAAAAATCCCGAATTTTATCCGTAACTGAACGAAATTAAAGAATGAATACGAGAAAATCTCATGAATAACACAGAAAACATTAAAGATAATAATAATTTTATTCACCAAATTAAAATTTATAATTGTATTACTCCACAAGTCAAAAGAAGGCTAGCATTAATCCCATCTGCAAATAATCCAAATCGAAGTAAACAAATGAGTACAGATAATTCAATTCATATTGAAACAGAACAGTCGTCGGAAAAAGAAGGACATTCGCTGTCTCTTTTAACTTCTGCGCAGTTGGGAACGACGAGTGCAACTAAGGAAAGGGAGGCAAGCGAAGGAACAAAATTATCACCAGTAACGGCATCGAAACCTCTGACTTCTGTACAACCTTCAACGGTGCTTGCAACTAAGGAACAAGGTGGAGATAATAGGATGGGGGAAGATGAAACATCAGATTTTGATAATTTTATTGAAGAAAAATTTACGTTATTTGATGGAACACAAGATGTAAAACAATGGTTGAGAGAAACTGAGAAAAAATTTCATGAACTTAAATTAAATAAATATGACAGATATTTAGCTGTACCATTACTAGTAATCGATGATGCAAAGTATTGGTATATTACAATTCGTAATCCGATTAATAGTTTCGATGATTTTTATGAACGAATGCTAATTAAATTTGATAAATCAATGAAACCAGCAGTGGCAACAATAGTTTCCGAAATAACTCAAACCAGAGAAATTCAAACTGAAAAAACAGATTTTGAATCGAAGCGTACGAGATCTTTGGGAAGATTTAAATCACTAGAATCACATGAATTACCACATCCAATTCATCATAGTACTACGCGTTTTGGTACAGCTCGGAAGAGCGTGTTGCCAGTAGAAAGTGTAGCAACTACAGCTATAGCTGCAGAAGAAAGTGACAAATCTTTTGGTACAGCTCGAAAGAGCGTGTTGCCAATAGGATCTTCACATACTGATACCATGACGTGTCAACCATTAGTAACATTTGAAACAACAAATATTTCAAAACTTAATGAATTAGATCAAACAGCAGCTGATCTTCGTAAACTAGTAATGGGAAAAATGATCAACAATCAGAAAAATGTTTCTGGAGCAACGGGTAAAAACGAAGAGGTTGGAAAATGGTTAGTAGAAGTTGATAAACAGTTTGATAATGGTGATATTCAAGACTCTAGTAAACTAGCCATAATTTCATATCATTTGAAAAGTGACGCTCTAGTTTGGTATAGAGAATATAGAAAAAATATAACAACTTGGGATGAATTCGTAAGATTACAAAAGCATTTAAATCTTCCCGTCATTCAGAATTAGCGTATCGAAAATTGGAAAAATACACACAAACTGGTACACAAAGTATCAAAAATTATTATGCTGAAATTATTCAAATATTCAAAGAACCAGACCCACGTATGTCTGAGCATGAAAAACTACGATATCTTTTCAAAAATATGAAATCGTCGTTACAATATGAAGTACGTAAAACGTTTCCCAAAACACCATCACTTTATTCTTAAAATAAAGAAATTGCATTAGAAATCGAAGATTTATTGATACTATCAGATCAAACTACACCATCATCAACAACTACAACTATTAAAACTACTTCTACTAATAATAATCCAGCAGTATCTACATTCGATCTGACGATGAAAATCCACGAAATCCCCTTTATAACAATGATAATCGACAAAATAATCAACGAAACTCTTTTCAACCATGATTTCGCCAATACAATAATAATCGTTCATCCTTCCAATCTCGTTTTTCACATGGAAATAATTATTATAATCCTCGTTTTCATCAAAGTATTAACTATTCTAATACTCGCTTTCATCAATCCAATAAATCACTATTCACAACAACAATTTCAACAAAATAACTTTCGTGGTGGCAATCAACAACAAAATAATAGTAATTAGAATGAAAATACATCTAATCAACAAGCTAGAAATTCCAATAATAACGCAAATTTAAATGTTACTACAAATTCAAATCCTACCACAACTGCGTATAATCGTAATCAACCAAATCGAAATGCGAATTCGAATCCACAACCAATGTTATCCGTAGTCCAGGAACCACCGACACCTTCAGCACCATTCGACCGCCAGAGTTGTGGCGAATTGCATTGCGCGGATGTGGAGTGTCAACATTTCCAGTAGAGGAGATATCGGGTGATGGTGATGTCTCCAGAAAGAACAATAAAAACCCATCAAAATCTTCATTAACTTACATCACCACGCTCATTAATAATAAGACGATGGAAATTTTAGTTGATATCGGTGCCAGCACAACGTTTATTAATGAAAAATCACTAAAATCAACCATTTAAAATTCATTAATAAAACTCAATATTCATTTGTATTAGAAGACGGTGTTGCACCTTTTTATGTAATTTGAGTAGTAGAACTGACTATTAAATTCAGCGATCAAAACGCAAAAATATATGCACATATAGTCAAAAATATATGTTCAGACGTTATTCTTGCAATGGACTATATGGATCGTCATAATATGAAGATCGATATCAAAGCACAGACTGTACACTGTAAAAAAAAAAGTGTGCCACAAAGTGGACTTTTTAGAAACTGCTTTTATGGGGAACACTATTCGAAAAGATCATTATTAAACTGGAACGCGTCGAGACGCACTTTAAAAAGTATGCTGCGGTAGAACACTCTTCAAAAAAAAACACTTTTAAATTGGAGGTACCAGACATACTTTATAAAGCGCGCTACAGTGGAACACGTTTGGAAAAGGTCACTTTTGACAGCGGCGAACTAAAGAACATTTAATGACTAATTTCCAGAAGCACTTCGTGAAGAAATACTATGTCAAAGTCTATATTTTAATGAACGATAACAGCTGAATGAAGGTTTAGAAATACCGAAGGATTGGTAGAAAAACGGCACAACAGAATGAAAGAGAGAGATCAGTCCAATTTTATTTAACGCTCTTTTGTTCACTATTTAGTTTTAGGCTTGTTTGTCTAGCTACACATAAATTACTGCGTCTCTTTATTTTTTCGTTATACTTTTACACATGCACTTGTAAAGGAAAAGTTCGATAAATGGATTCGTTTACATGTCCATACTGTAAAGAATTTTTTGAAACTACAAGACAATGCGCAAAACATATAAGCAATATTCATAGGCAACATCCAAATGAAAACATATCATGTGAATATTGTGACAATAAATATAGATGGACTGCTAGTTATCAAAGACACCTTCGGGCTAAGCATGCTTCTCAACTTGTAAGTGTGTATTTTATGCTTTTCGTTATCTTGCGTCATAGTCTTATGGTATTAGCAGAAAATGGTGAAAGACAGATAATCATATTCAAAGAGATAGCAGAGTGTGGAACGAAGCCATTCATGTTCTTTTTTTATTTTCCAAACTATCTCAGTTGATTCGCTTAATCGAGGCAGTGTTTCTGTTGCTATTTCAATAAACTTCATTTTATTTTGTATTTTAGGACCCGATAAGTCAGTCGCAAAGACGGTACGTGGATCAAGCAATCAACAACGAGGATGAAGATTCTGCTGTACCATCGGACGACCGCTACGATCAAAATAATCAGAGTCTGAAACAAACAATTTTGAATGAATATAAACCTTTGTGTTTGGAACAATCGAATGTATCACAACTTGGTTTTTCTGTATCACAATTAATCTTGAATATGTCAGCTTCACGCATCAACAACGAAACAAAAGATATGATTATCCAACAAATGTGCAATGTAATGGAAAAAGCCTGTATCCTACCGGTATGTTCTCGCAGAAATAAACTGGTTCGTGACCATACCTACTTCACTATTTTCGTTTAGAATGCCGCATGTTATGTTGAAAATATCCGATCGGGGTTGGGTAGTAATCATTTGCGGCAGCAATTTTTGGCTGATCGCATGATGATGATTAAACCTAAACCTATTTTTCTTGGTTTCAAGGTAAGTACGCCTTCTGCGTATTTGAACAGCTGGCAACGCTTATTGTAAGCGTTTATCATTTTGTAGACGTTCGTTGTTTTTTCTTTTAGTTTCACCGTGCAAGTGGCAAAAAAAAGCAAAAACTATGGAAACCGTGCAAGGCTTATTACGTTCCGTTCAAAGAATCATTAAAACAAATAATAGCAACTCCGGAATTACAAAGCATAATGGAACGTCGATTGCAGCAGACCAAGCCGACAACAACTTTAAAAATCGACATTACCGATGGATCTATCGGCCAAGAACATCCGGATTTGAGAGAGCCACAGAACTTAAAGGTATAACAGGAATTTTTCTCTTGCTTGGTCTAGTTTTCCTTTTCTTTAGATAATTCTCTACGTCGACGACATCGAAATCAGCAATCCACTACGTCGGAAGAAGAAAAATATTTGTTTTTTCTACTGGACATTAGCAGACTTACCTCGATATTTACGATCGCAAGACCAAGCAATTTTTCTACTTGCGGCATGTGAGAAGCCATATATAAAACGCTTTGGGTGAGTAAATTGTTTTTCTTCTGATTGATTCTTCCCTAGAATTTCGCTTTACTTCATTTTCAGTTACATCAGGTTATTATCGAATTTCGTTACATCGAATTTCGGACATTAAACGTCTACAAAATGGCATCGAGTTTTTGATCAATAAGAAGCCAATAACGTTAAAAGGATCATTATTATGTACGGTGGGCGATCTACTAGCCATAGTTGGTTTACATCAATTTAAATGTGGTTTTCGCCATGCGAATCGCCCTTGTTTTCTCTGTATGATTTCAAATGAACAGTTGCTAAACTTATCGATATATCACAATTATCAACAACGAACGATGGATGAGTATTTGACACAATGTGCAAAAATCGGTAACAGTTTATTTAAGCTGAAATTTTTTTATTTTGTAATTTCACACACATAATCAGATGAGTTACACTTTAGGTTAAAAGTCTTTTTGAGAAGGTTTTTTGCTTTTTAGATGATGAGATAACGCAGAAGGGAAAAAATGAACGTCAGAAAGAATATGGTATCGTCACGAAATCACCATTGACAAAAATCGAACGTCACGATATTTTTCAACAAACTGGGCTTGACGTCATGCATGTGTACTTGGAAGGGATATGTCGACTACACCTACGCTTACTATTTCAGAACATCATCGATGCAAATCTGACAACATTATCGAAATTGTCGAACATTGTACGGGATTACGCATATCCACCTCCTTCTTCTCGTCCGTCATCCGCGTTCGAAATTAAAGATCTGTCGGGTTTAATGCCACTCACAGCAGCGGAAATGTTAACAGTGTGTAAACACTTACCGTTTGTTCTAAACCGTCTATTAAATAGAGATCCGTCATGTATCAAACAATGGTTTTGTTTCATCCTATTACAAGACATATTGTCATTCATGTTTGCCTCCGAATATGACGACACGAGTATTAAACAATTAGAATTATTGTTAAAATTATACTTCAAAAAATTCAACGAGTTTTATCCGCGGAATGCAATACCAAAGTTGCATTTCACAACTCATTTGATGAATCAAGTCAAATGTTTAGGTCCACCGCGATATTGTTGCTGTTTTTCATTCGAAAAGAAGCATTCTTTCTTCAAACGTTTGAGTACACGTAATTTTAAGAATCTGTCGTGGACTCTTTCATCCAAACATCAAGAATGGCAATGTTCACAATTCGTCAATAACGAGGGGCATCTGTCTGATAAAACATTTCGCAAACAACATCAAATCCGCCATCTGAAACAAGTGAATAGCGTGAGTAGATTGTTAGTATGTGATCGTACTTCCATATGGTATTCTCGTTTTACTTTAACGCCCGCTTTAGTGACCCATTATTTTCGAATGTTCTAGGATAATTATCCGTTGGATAATAAAATTGATCCATCATCTCCGTTATTTCAAGCGACCACAAGCATCAATATCTACGGTATTGAGTATTTTGTTGGCAATGCATTGTATAATAATAATTCCTTATTTTCTTCCATTCCTCAATTCTTATTGATCGATTGCTTTTATTTTCAAAATGACGCTATTTTTGCTCACGGATGTTTATTGTCAACGGTGAAAACTGAAAAGAATTTGAATGCGTATCACGCTGAAAGAACAAGTGTTAAACAAATTCTCGACTTGAATGAAATAATTAATATTTGGCCTTTGACCGTACAGACATATAAAAACGAACTCTATATTCAACTGTTTCCTTACGCACGATCTTTGTTTATCTAAAGTTTTTTATACACATATTAGGCTAATAAACATAAACGTTCTCCTTTGTTTTTCCTTTTTTTTTCATGAATATTGTCAGTCGCATCTAGCCTTGAAGAGCGATCAACAGTCTCTTTAGCTTTTGTAGAGCTCATTCTCATCCAGTTCAGGTTTCCTGTCTCTCAAGGCTATTACTTTATTATTTTGCTCTATTACCGTCTTTCTTATGCATAAGACAGAGACTTAACATCACAATCAGATTTACTAGTGTGGTTCTTTTTTCTGCTAGATCGACATGACGTCATTCAATGATTCAGGATTAAGAACGAAAAAAATATTTGGCTCTGTAAAATATGGTACAAAAACGTTTCGATTAGAAACCACTATTGACGAAACTACAGAAATCGATCATCTTCGGAATTTTTTGTTGAAAAAATGTCACGTGCAATCCATCGATAAAAGCAATGAAAATATTCAAATACAATTATTTGATCGTGAACTCCAAGAGTTTATCGAATTCGAGTCACTTTGTCAACTATTTCCATCCTCGCAAGAGATGTTCTCATCAGCAAATATGTCTGTAACATCGTTTAAAGTTACAGACCATCGACAAAATGATTATATACTGAAAGAAACACTCAATAATTCTCAAGAACTCATGGAAACCAGGGTAAGTTGTACTGCTTTTTATCGGTGATTAATCAGACGATAGCATTGGAAAAAAATGAAATGAATAACAAAAATCTGGACTTTAGTTTGTACTTACTTTTTCTAATTTTATCAGGTCTTGGATGATGCTAAGGATGTTGACGATATGAATGACAATGAAAATGTTCAAGAAATTTTTGAAAGCAAAGAGTCTCGAAAAATCGATGAGAACAAAACAAAAGCTGGTGGTGAGGATCGATATCGGGTTCGAACAAAACAATACTTACCGAAAATATTAATTTTACCAACAATACCAAAGCACATCGAAGACACTATTAGAAACGGTAAGAAAGGTTTTGCTTTCTTATCTGCTTAGAACCCTACGAGGTTGTCTGAGTTCACAAAAAAATTGATGAGGCATTGAGATTATAAAGGAAAGTTTGGAAGAAATTGGAACAGCCTCAATGTTTTATTTTTCCTGAGCGTCATTAGCGCACAAAGTCAAATTCTGCGGCTTTGCCAGAGAGCTACGCTGTGCAGTTCTTTTCACTCGTTTTAGGTAAACTAGCAAGTGTTATGAAGCATGTGATCAATTACTATGCTGATTTTTTTCTCGATTACAATGTCTCTTGTCAAGCTCATTACAAAAGAATAACAAAAGCGTTCTTTGAACAGTGTGGATTAGATGCTGTCATACAAAGAGATTTAATGGTAAAATAAGTCAAAATATTTATTTGTTATTGTTTTTTTAGTCTTTATTTTGTAGACGAATTTTCGAACACGACTGTCACAAAAGTTGCGAAAACTACGCGTTGCCGAAATAAAAACGTCGAATCAGCGCAAGCAGGTCGATTTAGATGCGCGGCTCAGTGTTCTGCCGACAGGTAAGAGTTGAACCTAACCTTGACAGCAATAATCGATTTTCTCAGCGCTGTGGTTCTGCTTTTTTGCAGATATGACAGCCGATGAATGTATTCATCGATTAAATGAGATCCATAACAACAGCGTACCCGAAACAGAAGCAGCAGAATTTCAACGCCTAGTTATCCAAAGTTTTCAACATCGTCGACTCCTTATTACAACTGGTTCCACATACACATTTGATGAATTATCCTCTCTGTATGGTTTTATGTCAGATCCGTTGTTTGTATGATTGTCTTATGAAAATACACATCTTAATGTCATAAGAAATGTTCGCTTTTAGATTCGTGTTGAATTTGAATTACTTGAGAAAATCGCATTTGGATCAGCTGTACGGAATGTGAAAATGTTAATCGAAAATACTTGTCTATCATTCGGTAAAGAGCTTAGTGTATGTATTGCACAAATGCTTCGCGGTTTTCATCCTGTTCCATTATAACTATTTTTGTTTTAGGTAACTGGAGAAATTGAAGCCTTAAAAAAACTAGCAGATTTTAGTAGAAGTTCCATTCCTATTGTGACAGCCGAAGTACGTAACTTCGTGAACCTTCGCCATGATTCTATTTGCCCTATATTCCTAGATTACTGTCGATGATTTAAACGGGATCGAGAGAGAAGTAGAAAAAAGAACAAAACATTTATATCCACATATTTTGTTCTTTGAGAAAGACGGTCAAAATCATCTCATTATCCTCTATGGTGATATAATAAAAATCGTCGAAGAAAATGCTCGTTCGTATATTTTCTCTTCATCCTTTCTTTCCGCAAGCAATTGCTTTTTCATGTTCTAGAGTCTCTAGTTGAGACAATCTGCTATCTCAT